TCTCTTAGGCATTTCCTTTGGTTCTGAAGGCAACATATTCCTTATTTATAAATTTTACTTAAGCTGATTTATGCTGTTACTAGCAAATTGGCCCACCTTGAATGGAGACCCCCTCCAACAAAAGGCTGTACAATCTGTCCAAATTGCAATACAGTGGACACTCCTGTCTATGCCCTCCAGAGACTCCTTCATTCTAGAGGCTTTAGCAACCTCCTCTCATGCATCCTGGAATCTCTGGACCACCCAGAATGACCACTTTGCCTTCAAGGTCGTTCTATTCTCCCTGTGAATCAGATCGACTCTCGAGAGGTCTCTAGGCTGGTTGTAGACCTTAAAAAAACAATTCTGCACAACTGTTTATATTATAAAAGCATTTTATTGAACACACTATGGAGGTAGTCAGAACCAGAACAAAATTTGGGATTGGGGGTGGGACTTGGTTTTGATAGTTCAGATACTGGAAAACTTTGGATTTTTTTCTCAACAAGGACCATGCTGTAGAGACCTAAAGGCTGATTTGAAGCAGAACATAGAATCACCGCATAGGAGATTAAAGACTGGGGATTGAGCCCTTCCAGGAACCAAAGACGATGGTTCTGCAATAGGCTTGGTCTAGACTACACTCCAGTAAAAGAGAAAACTTGGCTTGGTAACCACCTAGAAGAGGCAGCCACCAGGGGCCGTGTTGCTGCCCTTAGGAGGCAGTGACTTGCAGCAGGCTCTTAGCTCTTGAAGCTCTTCCGGGAGGAGGAGGTGGTGGACACAAATTTGACGCTGGAGCTGCTGACCCCACCACCACCACCACCGCCACCGCCACTGCCAAAGCCCACCCCCAGGCTTCGGCCACTGCTTGAACTGAAGCCAGAGCCCCCCACACTGAGCCCACTGCTTAGGCCGCCACCCACACTGCTGCCGGAGTAGTAGCCGCTGCTGCCGCCACCTCCAAGACCTCCGCCAAGACCTCCGCCAAGGCCGCCGCCAAGGCCGCCGCCAAGACCTCCGCCAAGGCCGCCGCCATAGCCACCGCCATAGCCACCGCCATAGCCACCGCCACCACCGTAGCCAGAGGAGACACTGTTTGTGATGACAGCTGTGGAGAAAAGAGGGAGCATTTGGTGAGACCAGTCTATCAGATTGATCCTACAGGTCCAATTTATTTGACCCTGCTAGTGTTAGCACTGTACCTGGCCCCTTTTACAGAGTAGTGAATGAGGCCCAGAAGAACTAAGTCATTTAGTTAAGGTCCCTAACAGAAAGTTGGTGAACATAGTAGGCAAGGGATGGTGCTAAGTCCTTGGGGGAAGAGGGGGAAGGCAGGGCAGAGGGGCAGGATGCAAGATGTGTAAGAGATAAAACATGAGGCACATTGCTTCATGTCTCAATCTGTGTTCGCTCCCCTCCACCACCTGCTTCTCATTAAGTGTATTAAATAACCATATATGGGGATTGGAGTGTCCGGGATCTAAAAACAGCGAGATTCTGAGCTGGCACCAAATATTATCATCATTGTTAATGTCTGTTTAAAGTTACTTACAGATGTTGACTGGTCCAACTCCTTCTCCACTCAATCTGAAAGGAGAAAAATTGAAATAAGAGTTAAAAATGCCCCCAAAGACAGCACGACTCTGTGTGGATAACTCCTATAGTCATGTTTAGAGCTTGATCTATAAGCAAGAAGCCTGCGTACCCAAAAAACTCTTTAAATTAGAGAAAGAGTATAGCTCTCCAGAGGGACTTTCCAATGAAGAGGACCTGGCCTAGAAACAGGCTATCAAAAGAAGATTATAATTCACATTCTCCCGCACCCATTATATGGAAAGCATGAGTAAGAGGCTATGGGGACTATAAATATATATGAAGCAGTTTTTGCCTTGTAGGAGCTTACATTCTGTGAGAGGGCTTGGCATGGACAGAAATACTTCTAACAGAAAGTAGGCAGTGGGCAGTGTCAGAAGATTGAAGAAAATGGAGTAGTTTGAGAATCCAAAGGCAGGTGAATTTAACCCAGCTGGAGTAATCATGAAAGACTTCCTGAAGGAAGAGGTATTTGAAGAATGGGGAAGGCGTTTGTTGAGTTGTTTGGTTGTTTGAAGGAGAGGCAGTGTCTAAGAATACTGATGGTGGGATTAGGTCAGAAAGTGAGTTAGGACCACATTGTGTAGGTTAGCTGTATGCCCAGGCATCAGATTAAAACCAAATTAAAGATGGATAATTATCATGCACACAATAGTGGTCACTTATGGGTGTGCGTGTTACACCCTGTAGTGGAGAAGAAGCTCCACTTATCACATGTGAGGCCACCCCTGGCTATGTTGCCCACCTGCACTCCTCGCCCTCCAGCAGCTTCCTGTAGGTGGCAATCTCCACGTCCAGGGCCAGCTTGGTGTTCATGAGCTCCTGGTACTCCCTTAGCAGCCGAGCCATGTCCTGCTTGGCCTTCTGCAGGGCATCCTCCAGCTCGGCCAACTTGTTCCTGGCGTCCTTGAGGGCCAGCTCCCCACGCTGCTCAGCTTCAGCGATGGCGTTCTGCAAGTTGGCGCACTAGAGGGAAAGGAAGGAAGAGTGGGGTTATACTTTAGCAGTGAGCTGGGCTCAGTACCTCTTTCTAAGATTCCAGAGACAAGCCAGTACAGTTGTCATCATTGTGGACGGGGGAAACATGGAAACGTTGGTACTTGTTCCAGCTCTGGGTGTGTATGTGTTTAGAAAAAGTAAAACCAAACAAAACAAGCCTTCTTTCCAGAGCTCAGGCCCTTTCTTGCCTTCTTTCAGCCTCTCCCTACCTGCTTCTTGACATTGTCGATCTCAGCTCTCAGCCTCTGAATCATCCGGTTCATCTCGGAGATCTCATGCTTGGTGCTGCGGAGATCGTCGCCATGCCTGCCAGCTGACTGCTGCAGCTCCTCATACTGGTGCCACCAGAAAAGAGCAAAGATTCCATTTATATGAGGATGGAAACACTTTCCCAATGTTCACAGGCAGCAACTACCAAGAGGTGGCAAGAGGTGTAGTTATCTGAGGTCTGGGGCTGGTTTCTGGTCTGAGATAATGTCTTCTTTAGTGCCTTTACTTTCCTGGAGACACTGGTGTGAGATTCAGAGTGAATTCTCCTTAAGGCTCTTGAATTTATGTGGTAAAGGCGCACATGACTGTTCCCATAACTCAACCCAAAAGGCCTCCGCAATTTTCAGGAGCCCCATCCTTAGCATTTTGTTATGGCCTGGAATCCTACACACATGTCCATCCCCTCACTCAGGGTGCATTCACCACAGCACCCACCTTGGTCTGGTACCAGGACTCGGCTTCTGTCCGGCTGCGGTTGGCAATGTCCTCATACTGGGCCTTGACCTCAGCGATGATGCTGTCCAGGTCCAGGCTGCGGTTGTTGTCCATGGACAGGACCACAGATGTGTCTGAGACATGTGTTTGCATCTGGGACAGCTCCTGCAAGGACACTTGAAGTCAGTCATGTGATTCTGTGTTATTTTATGTCAGGTCCATTCAAATATCTCACTCATTATGGTTTGTCAATGTGAGAAAAAAAGTAATAACCACCTACGTCAAACATTTAGATAAGTTCATAAATAATCCAAACCATTACTAAATCTATTTTTAAAATCTTTAACAACCTGAACCTCCAAGAGACCTCTACTATATAATAACCTTTTAGATGTGAATCTTCTGGGGTCATATCTTATTTCCAAAGAATCTAGTTGAGTGGGCTGCCAGGCTGGGAGGAAATAGAAAGAAAGGGGAGGTCGAGGAAAGGTATAACTGTGCCTCTGATAACTCACTCTAAACCTCACTTTGCAGAATGATTATTGAAGGGGTCTTTTGCTTTAAACTTGACTTATTTTTTTAAAGGATTGGCTTTATAAGTAATAAAGTGTTAGTGCTACTAAAGGGACAGGGAAGAGAGGGATGTATTTACAGCTTAGGAGTCACTGGAAGCCACTAACCCTGGAAACCCTAATTCCTGGTGGTGTCCCAGTGACCATCTCTCTGGGTCTTGAATAAGGGGCATTTCTTACCGCCTCAAAGAACATCTTCAAGAAGTTGATCTCATCCATCAGTGCATCGACCTTGGCCTCTAGCTCCACCTTGCTCATGTAGGCAGCATCCACGTCCTAGAAAAATGGATGGTTGGCATTGCACCCAATTCCCACCCTGACTTAAATGAATGATGCCTTAAGAGAGCATAGCCATAGGCAACAGGTTCTCTTCTACCCACATACCTTCTTCAGCATCACAAACTCATTCTCAGCGGTGGTACGCTTATTGATTTCATCTTCATACCTGGGGGTAAAAGGAATGGGAAGTGCTTATCAGAAGATGAGAGGCAAGTGAGGCCTAGGGTCTTTCATGCATAAAGGCAACTGCGTGAGCCTGCTTTCCCACTGGGAAAGGGCTTCTTGCATCACACAGGCAGAAAGGGAGGGGGCACTGGTAGTGTGAGCCACTGGGCAAGGCCCTTACCCATTAGAATACTCTTTTCTCTTTAACTGCCCACCTGATAATCATTCTATTATTGCTATAACA